TTTATTGATACCGGGAGTTCGGTGGACGTGATGTTCTATGACTGTTTTGTGCAAATTAACAAGGAGTTGAATATGGAGTTGAAACCGGTGACCACGATACTCTATGGCTTTAATGGAGGAGAGGTGATGCCGATGGGCGAGGTGAGTTTGCCAGTGGCGCTGGGAGTGGGAGAGCTGAGGAAGGTGCGCATGGTGAGGTTTGTGGTCGTAGGAGCTGAATCATCTTATAACATCATTATAGGGCGGACGAGCTTGAATGCGTTCCAGGCGGTCGTATCCACATACCACATGACGATTAAATATCCAGTGGGCGAAAACGTAGGGGAGATTGCCGGGGACCAGCTCACTTCGAGGAGCTGCTACCAAACGACAGTTAGCAATAATAAGCAACTGGCGAGGAGGCAGGCCAAGTCAGAGGAGGAGGGGATTAATCGACCAGATGGGTCGAGGTCGAATGAGGATAAACAGAGAATGGAGAAGGGCAAGGAGAAGATGGATATTCAGCTAGGGGGAGAGGTGGAGGAGATTCAGATGATCGAGGGGTGTGAGGAGAGGAAGTTCAGATCGGGAAAGACTTGGAGGAGCCTATTCGGTCGAGGCTTATCGATCTGGTCAGGGAGTTCGCTGACATTTTTGCCTACACAGCGAAGGAGTTGACGGGGATAAGTGCGGAAGTAATCGAGCACCGGCTGAACATCGACCTCAGTGTGAGGCCGGTGAAACAAAAAAGAAGACACCATGGGGCGGAGATGGACAAAATCATTGAGAAGGAGGTTGAGAAGCTATTGGGAGCAAGGCATATCAAGGAAATCCAGTTCCCCGAATGGTTGTCAAATACGGTGATGGTGTCGAAGGCGGAGGGAAAATGGAGGATGTGCATTGATTTCCGTGACCTGAACAAAGCGTGTCCAAAGGATCTATACCCGCTGCCCAGAATCGACCAGCTGGTCGACTCAACGGCAGGGTGCGAATTGCTGAGCTTGATGGATGCCTCCCAGGGATATCATCAAATTCCCTTGGCAAGAGAAGACAGGAAGCGGGTGAGTTTTGTAACAAATCGAGGGACCTATTGTTACGTGGTCATGCCGTTCAGTCTAAAGAATGCGGGTGCCACATATCAAAGGTTGGTCGATAAAATTTTCAATGAGCAACTGGGAAGGAACATGGAGGTATATGTGGACGATATGTTGGTGAAAAGCAAGGAGGAGTTGGATCATGTGCGAGACTTGAGAGAAACATTCCTAACATTGCGGAGGTATGGGATGAAATTGAATCCTGCTAAGTTCTCTTTCGGGGTGAGGTCGGGAAAGTTCTTGGGTTACTTGGTGACCAAGAGAGGTATTGAAGTGAATCCCGAGAAGGTTCGAGCTGTAATGGAGATGAATCCGCCGACGAATGTTAAAGAAGTGCAAATCTTAGCTGGTCGAATTGCAGGGCTGAGTCGTTTCATATCGAAGGTGGCGGAGAAGAGTGGCTCATTATTTACAACATTGAAGAAGAGTGCAAAATTCCAATGGACGGAGGAGGCGCAGGGGGCCTTCG